TGATCCAAATTCAGCAACCGGATAGATATAGTCATTCTCTATGATTCTGCGTTTTTAGTTTTCTCGAATCTGCAATATTGTGGATGCAACAAATTTTCGTCCTTTGTGGGGGCGGATGGGGGTGGGGCGAAATTCTGAGATATACGTTATATAGTGACATCTTAAAGGAGTGTGTGTACCAAATTTGGTTACTCTAGCGTTAATAGTCTCTGAGATTTGTGGTTGCCTCAGATTTTCGTCCTTTGCGGGGGCGGAAGGAGGTGTGGCGAAATTTTGACACGAAACGGTCAAGGTCCGATATCACAGGAGTGTGGATACCAAATTTGGTTGCTCTAGCTCTTATGGGTTCTGAGATCCTTGAACTCATATTTTGCAATTGGCAAAACCGACCATGAAACCTGTGTGTTAGAGTGAGACAGAGCGAGAAAGAGTGAAATTGTTTTCGTGATTCTGGCTGTAATAATTATACGATCTGGTTCAGATTTTGCACTCTAGAAGATATAGGCATCTTCTACGATTCTGCGATTTAGTTTTCTCGTATCGTCGAAATTGTGGATGCCACAGATTTTCGCCCTTTGTGGGGGCGGAAGTGGGCGGGGCAAAGTTTTGAAATATTTTTGGAGCAGTGACATATCACAGAAGTCTGGATCCAAAACATCGTTGCTCTAGCTCTTATAGTCTTTGAGCATTAGGCGCTGAAGGGGACGGACAGACGGACGGACGGACAGACGGACAGACAGACATGGCTCAATCGACTCGGCTATTGATGCTGATCATCAACGTCCTTCTGGACGTTACACACATCCACTTTCACCACAAATCTAATATACCCCAATACTCATTTTGAGTATCGGGTATAAAAACAGCTGACCTGGTTGCTTTGAAAATATACAGCCTGATAAAAATGCCTTTATATTTTCAATTGATTGTTTTGAAGCAACGTTCCGATAACCAAATCGGACTGCGTAAGCGGTTTGCACCAAAACGAAAAAAGTGGTTGAGATTGAGATTGGGTTAAGAAAAAATTATTTATAAATAAAGCAAAGGTTAATTTGCCCTGATATAGGTGTCAAGCTCATGTTAATGCATCAATAAGTCATCTAATTTTTTTTCCTTTTGCAATTAAGATTTTTTTTGTATCAAAGCCGTTTACTCTTTATTTCGTCAAGGAAAATGTTTTTGATTTGAAAAGTAAGAAATCTTGCGGATTGTGAAAACGGGAGACCCAATTTATGTGATTTCAAAAGTAAAACGAAAAACTTTTGTAAAAGTGAAAAACGGAGCCTGCCTGTTTTTTGCTCATATTCATTGAAGCCCTATGGAAGAGATCCATACATACTGTTGAGTGATCACTTTCACAAATAGACCATTAAGCATTTAGGTTGAGTGGTGGCTAGCAAAGGGAGATGTGTTCATTAGTGAAGGTGTTGTGAGTTGAGTGTGTGCTTGGGCACCATTGTTAAGATTCGCTTATTGTGTGGAAAGCGAACACCAGGCCTTAAAGTCCCCAAGCATACGTGTTCTTGAAATTGTTAATAAGATCGTGCAAATCTTGCTCAACAAAATTATCAGTTGGCGAGATGTAGATATTTATTAATACAAGGGGTGTTTCAGGTTTGATTCCTGCACCAATGGAAACCAAAGTGGAAAATATAGGAATTATTTTGCGATCAATACTTTTTGAAATGGAGAGGGCGACGCCTTTACTTGCTTTTGTGTTTGATGTAATGTAATTTTTTTTGTATAGCTCAAATTGTTTTGCCGTGTTAAAATGTATCCTCGTTAATGAGGTGAGTTTCTTGTAGTGTAATTAGCTTTGGTTAGTACACACTAATTCGTATTAACAGTTAGGAACCACACTGTGCACAGTATCAAAACATGATTCATGTATCCTTTTCACACTATCTTTCAATTCATTTTCTTTCCTTTATTTGCTGACTCATTGACTCAAGGCATAATTGTCGAGTGACTCATGTCAAATCGTATGACTCGCACTCACTCTGTTACGAAAAACGTTGTGACAGAGAGAGAGTGTATGAGTTGTCTCTCTCGCTCAATTTGTTGTGCATTGTTTTGCTCACTGCAGTGTGGAAAAGAAAACGTCAAAAAGCTAACGAGAAGGACATTTTCATTTAATTTTCTATCGGTGCTTGTACTGTTTGCTAATTACTGAAAATGGAATAATTCGATTGTTGGTTCTTTTGATTATGTAAGTTTAGTAGAAAAATGTATGCGTGTGTTTCTATTCGAATATTATATGCACATTTAATTCGCAGTCCTTGTCACCATCTGGCTTCGAATTACCAGCCGATATAAAAGCAAAAATAATGGCTGGCCAATACAAAATTAACCAAAAAAGTGGCAAAAGCAAGGTGTGGGAAGTTTTTGGTCCTGTCGTTGGAGAGGACAGCAATGTTATTCCAAACATCGTGGCATGTCGAAATTGTTTTACGGTTTTCAAGTTTACTGGTGCCACGTCCAATTTGGTCCGGCATAAGTGCTATAAGGTTACCAAATCTGAAGAAAACGGCAACGTTTATGAACCTGTCGTAGATGCCGAAACGAAATTATCGGTGACAAAGGTCGTGAAGAAGTGGGTCGTTCAAAATTGTCGACCATTTAGTATTATCAGCGATTCAGGACTTAAGGACGTTATAACCGTTGCCCTTGATATTGGAAGTTGTTTTGGACCAAACATAAACGTTAGCAACCTGCTACCTCATCCAACAACTGTATCGCGTAACGTCACAGACTTATACATTCACACGATTCAGTTAAGCAAGATGGGATAATTTTTGGAATACTGTGCACTCATGCAGGGCTCTATTATTTACTAAGAGGGGGAGACTGTAGAATTTGTCTTTGTATCCATATATGTTCCATTGAAAGTTTTAAGTGCAACAAGCAGATCAAGTTAAATTGGTTATAACTCTATATCTTCTTATCAGAGTGCTTTGTTTGAGTATTGAGTCTTTTTTTTTTAATGTTTTGTTATTACGTTGTCAGTAATTTCTAGTATTGTGTCCTTGTCTAATTTTGAGTCGCTGATTGTTCTTGTTTGTTTGCGTTTTTTTTTTTTTTTTTCTTGTAGGTGGGTAGTTTTGTGTGGCTCACTTTTCAATCTTTGACTGATATTTTTATACCTGATACATAAAATGTGTTTAGGGGTATGTTCAGTTGGTATCACACAGTGAAACCGTAACACAGTTTAAATTGAACATGTAATATAATACCTCACGACAAAACACTAGCCACTGCAGAGAGTTCTGCTGACAATGCACTCTCTCCGCAGAGGGTGAACACATCAGTGCAATTGATGACCATGAATATTACGCAATTTCCCACTAGACAATCAACTTATCCATAATACCTTACCTTATGTTACCTATAAATAACAATCAATTTGATCAATAAAGTCAGTATCAGAAACAGTAGCACAACTGCCTGTCACTCATCTTCCATCGCAATCATCAGAGGCTGTCGCTGTGTCTTCAGACCCTTCTTTGCAACCCTTCTAGTTGCGACGACCAAACTGTAGCCGGTTTATGTACCATATGCAACCCAGCTTCCCCCACACACACACACACAATAACACGGTATATTAGATGTGTGGTGGAAATGGATGTGTATAATGTCCAGGAGGAGGCGATTCCGACCCCATAAGGTATACATATTCTTGATCAGCATCAATTACCGAGTCGATAGAGCCATATCTGTCCGTCCGTCCGTCCCAATGAGCGCCTAGTGCTTTAACGAACCCAAAAGGGTTCGATACATTCCTTCCCCCAAAGCATAATATGCATAAACCCACTACTAAGATACGCGCCGACCCCACAAAAGCTGTCCAAACGCACCAGGCCACGCGAACCTCTCCACTCCAGACCAAGCAGCCGGCCAGGCGCAGTCTTCCGGGTTCATTGACTACAAAAAGATGACACCGCGGAAACTTACGACAAACAACCAGCGACCAACCCGCCAGAAACAGAAACCAGGTCAACCCACGATCGCCAAAACAGCGAAGTGCACCCCGACACGGAAGCGCATTTCGACCCCGCTGACACAGCAACCACAGGCGTATAAATAGACGCCAGCTATTACCAGAAGACAACTTACGTAGAAGCCCGGCTCCGAGTACAGACGGTCTACCAAAAACTTACGAAGAAACCTGGCTCCGAATACAGACGTTGTATTTATCTAAGAATATAAAAGTGCTAAGAATTTATACGAATAAAGCCACATATCCAAGTAACCCGCTGCGTAAGTTCATTTCAAATAGCCGACACTACCCCCACTAGCCCACACACAACATCCGACGCTCGACCAAGCCACGATCCACCCTCTCTGAGATAGGCCAACCCCGAAATCTCCCTCAAAGTTCCATCCACTTCTAAAAATTTCTTGTGGATTGACCACTGAACGTGACTGAGCTTACTTCAGCCTGAAATAGTGCTCAGAGACTATAAGAGCTAGAGCAACCAAATTTGGTATCCACACTCCTCTGATATCGAACCAGCAGAAGTATATTTCAAATTTCGCCCCACCACCTTCCGCCCCACAGAAGAAGAAAATCTGTGGCATCCACAGCTCTGAGAGACAATTAAAGCTAGAGCAACCACACTCCTGTTAAATCTTACTGTTACGAGTGTATTTCAAAATTACGCCACACCCCTTCGGCCCCCAGAAAGGACGAAAATCTGTGTGGATGCCAATTTTAAAGATACGAAAAAATTAAAAACACACAATCATAGAGAATGACCATACCCACCATATTGCCGAGTCTGGATCAGATCGGATCATTATTATAGCCAAAAGCAACAAAACAATTTCCAGTGGCTACGCAGTGCCCGACGACACGTTCTGACTGATTTTCTGTTAGCGCCCTATGGCGGAGAGGAGCCCTGACTAAGTATCGGGTGTGAATGTAGAGTTGCGATCGCAGCAGCAACAATGTTCCCCCTAATTTTTTGTGCGATTGTGTTATTGAGGGCAATGCAACTAACCAGTTTTTTCCTTAATTTCGCATAGTACCGAGAATAGAGCTGGCTTCATTCGATGACAGTTTAGTGTGTGCTTCCTGGCCTGTGCCTCGTCCAGTGACTGCTCAGAGATGCTCATAATTTGTTGTAATATCTCGCCAATATCCTTTTGCTTCCGCACTTCGTTCTCGTTGCCAGTATTTTGGCCATCGTCCTGCCCAGATAGGCTATAGCCCTGCGGTGCCATCATTCCACCAGTGTGAGCCATCATGCGATTAGGATCCTCCATGGCTTGTCGAAAGATTACCCACCTACAACAGAAATGCAGATCTGAAAAATTGAAAATATATATAAGTAATTTTATGATCGCAATAGATTTTTCTGTTAAGTGCATGTCTGGAGTGTATATAAAATCTGAAACAAATGAATGCGGAGACAACGCCCGTTCAAAGAAAGCATTCGGTCAACGTGTAAAAACAAAAGAAAATCATTTAATCCCGAGTAACATTGATTTTCGTCCCCCTAACGGAATGAGGTAGGTCGAAATTTTGAAATACACATGTAAAAATGAGATCTAACAGGAGTGTGGATACCAAATTTGGTTACTCTAACCTTAATAGTCTCTGAGATTTTCGTCCTTTGCGGGGGCGGAAGGGGGTGTGGCGAAATTTTGAAGCTAACTAGTCAAGGTCCGATATCACAGGAGCTTTTATAGTTTCTGAGATCTAGGAACTCAAATTTTGCAATAGGCAAAGCCGACCATGTGTTAGAGAGAGACAGAGCGAGAAAGAATGAAATTGTTTTCTTGATTCTGGCTATAATAATTATACGATCTCGTTAAGATTTTGCATTTTAGAAGATATATGTAGTCATCTTCTACGATTCGGCGTTTTCTGCTTTGTCGTATTTTTGAAATTGTGGTTGCCACAGATTTTCGCCCTTTGTGGGGGCGGAAGTGGGCGGGGCAAAGTTTTGAAATATACTTGTAACAGTGGCATATCACAGAAGTCCAAAATCATTTTGGCGTCATTGTTAAGGAAATTTTATCTTCTCTTCTTTCTTGTTGCCCTTTGTGGTGATAAACGCAACTAAGAAACGTAATAACGCGCCATACATTGTTGTCGGCGGGCAAAATCACAGATCTCTGCTAAGGGAGTTAGAATTTGACGCCAATCTAAATAAACAGCTGACTCGACTTGCTAGAACGGTCAAAGGACAGTAAAAAAAAATAGTCCGCACATGAGCATTTACCACAGCTTTGACGATTTACTTGAAGTGTTAAACGATCTTAGTCTACATATTAAGCGCGGCCCGGGGGAACGAGCAGGAATAATGGACGCTGCACACCTCCAAGCCAATGTGTCCGCGGCGGTCGGCTCTGCACTGGAGGTGCAAAAGGCTGACTTTGAACAGCGTTTACAGGTAGTAACCAACCAGTTGCAGGCAGCGTTAATCACGTCACCCGAGGCTAAGGCCTTCAAGCCGGTTACCTTAGATAGAATGGTGGTTTGTGAGAAAGCTCTGGATGCAGTAAAAACACTTCCAGAGTTACATGGCATCCAGGAGCAATAGGTTTCCTGTCGCCAAGCAGCAAAGGCTGCCTATACGCTGTACGAGGGAATAGTCCTCATAATCGGAAATAAAATTAGAGGCCGCGCTGACTCCCTCTTAGCATCGTTCAACACGGTGTTGAACTTCGAGGCAATTATCAATCGTCTCGATTTCACATATTCGGACAAACGTCCACTGCCCCTGCTAGAACAAGAGCTCGCCAACCTCCGACAGGGCGGCTTGTCCGTCGTGCAGTTTTATGAAGAAGTTGAGAAAAAACTCACCCTTCTTACAAACAAAAAATGATGTCCCTAGAAGCCCCACAGGCGCAGCATCTCAACGAAAAACATAGAGATGACGCCCTCCATGTCTTCATCCCAAACCTCATACGGAACCTTACGGACGTACTATTTTCAGCTCAAACTAAAGACTTGCCATTGACTTACATGCGCGATCAGGGCAAAAAACTGACAAATAGTCACCAAGGCCTGGACAGGGTCGAAAAAATGGACGTGAACCCCTACTCCTCGAAGTTCCGCCAACCAACAAACTTTCAAAGGCAGCAGGGACCCAATGCAGGCCCACCTGTCACGGCAAGCCTAGCTAACGGTCACAACGAACAACGAACAACAGTATGAGCAGCTAGAACAGGGGGCAGTGGCTGAGATTGATGAGGAAAATAACGCAGGGTAGGATAGTGACAAGGTCAATTTTTTAGAGGAGAGTCCCTGCCCCCGTTCATCAAGAGAACAGTAGCGGGGATAACATTAAATTTTCTGTTAGACACTGGGGCTGCAAAGAACTACATCAAACCGCTAAGCGAACATCACCAATTGTTCCGGTGGAGGCCCTATTCATCGGGAAAATACTGCTCGGCTTCAATAAAGTCGAGCGAAAGTGCTTCCTTACACATTTCGGCATAAGAAGCCCGTTTTTCATCTTGCCAGAACTTTCAACCTTCGATGGACAACTTCACAATGGTGGACGACATATTAGTTCCGCGAGCTGTAAGAGACGAATTTCTGCAAAAAGGCTTTTGCAGATCTAAACGAAAAAACTGCCCTTTAACACGGGTGCAGTAGACACGATCAGAACCGAAAATGAAGAGCCATATTACTCAAAAATGTACCCTTTCCCAGTAGGATCCACTGATTTCGTAAATGACGAAGTGAATCACTTATTGCGGAACGACATTATTCGGACGCCCGTCTCCCAGGTCTCCGTGCAACCCCAAATGGGTTGTTTGAAAGAAAGGAACCGACGGGTTCAAGCAAAAAACGATTGGTCATAGACTTTCGCAAGCTAAACACAAAAACCATTCCAGACAAATACCCAATGCCTAGTAACTCTATGATACTTTCGAATTTGGGAAAAGCAAGATACTTTACTACCCTTGATCTGAAATGTGGGTACCACCAAGTCACGCCAGCTGAACGCGATCTTGATAAGATCTCATTTCGGTAAACGGAGGGATATATGAATTTTGCCGTCTGCCATTTGCCCTAAGGAATGCATAAAGCATTTTTCAGCGGGCCATCGATGATATGTTACGGGAGCATATCGGTAAGATATTCTACGTGTACGTCGATGACGTTATCTTATTTTCGAGGAGCGAGGCAGAGCATGTTAAGGACATTGACACTGTACTCGGCAGCCCCCATGACGCAAACATGAAGGTGTTGAAAGATAAATCCCAATTCTTCAAAGAAAAGTTTGAATTTCTAGGATTTGTCGTGTCAAGCGAGCGCAAAACGACGAGCCCTGATAAGGTCAAGGTACCCTGTTTACATTTAGCATTACCCTTACGGAAAAGGGACATAAACATCTACACAGGCCATCAACCGCTGATTTTTGCAGTTTCCGCCAGGAATCCCAACTCAAAAATAAATCGCTGGAAAGCGCGGATTGATGAGTGTGGCACAAAGGTCTTCTACAAGCCAGGCAGGGACAATCATGTAGCAGACGCACTGTCGCGAAAAAGCATTAATGTTTTAGAGAGCCGGAGTCGGTCAGATGCTTACTTCTGTAATCGAAGCTGTTGACAAACCGTTGAACTGCTTCAGGAACCAAATAATTCTGGAAGAATCAAGTACCCCTTCAAAGCAATATCGCATCTCTTCTCCGAAAAATCCCGTCACAAAATTGACTCCATCAAGGAAGTAGTACAGCCTGGGGTCGTTAATTCCATCCACTGCACCCTGCCAATACTGGCGTTTGTGCAAAATGACCTGGTTAAAGCCTGCCCGGACACAAAATTCCGGTATTGCAAGGCCTTGGTGACGGGCATCACCAATGACGGAGAGCGAAGGGAAATAGTAGTCCCCGAACACAATCGGGCGCACAGAGCAGCCCAGGAAAACGTGATGCAGGTACTGCGCGATTACTACTTTCCAAAAATGGAAACAATCGCGGCAGAAGTAGTAACAAATTGCAGGATATGTCAAAAGGCAAAATACGATAGACACCCTAGGAAGCAGGAATTAGAAGTAACACCAATACCAGCAAGGGTAGGCCAATTGATTCACATTGACATATTCTCCACCACAGAAAAATAATTTCTCACTGCGGTCGACAAGTTCTCAAAATTTGCAATTACACAGCAGGTGGCTTCGCGCACGATCACTGTCGTAAAGATACCGAGCCTGCAGTTGGTAAACATCTTCCCAAACATCAGAACCATTTATTGTGATAATGAGGCAGCCTTTAAGTCAGAGACTATTTGGTCTTTGTTAAAGAACCAGTTCGACATTGATGTGGCAAATGCCCCCCGCTACACACCACATCAAACGAACAGGTGGAACGCTTCCAAAGCACCCTACTAGAAATTGCCAGATGCTTAAAACTTCAACGCCAAGTCGATGTTACGGTTGAGCAAGATATTATAGCGACTATTGAGTACAACCGGACAGTCCACTCGGTCACGAACAGAACACCCGTTGATGTGGTTCAGCTGTGACCTTGGGGAGGAAATAATGTTGATGTTAATGAAGGCGCAACAAGAACAGCTTGATAGGAACAAACCAGTCAGAAAAAACAGGACGTTCGACGAGGAGAGAAAGTCCTAGTAAAAACAAATAGGAGGTTAGGAAACAAACTAACTAAAACTCTCGAGGAAAAGGTAGAAGCAGATTTGGGGACCACTGTTCTTATAAGGAGATCGGTCCACAAAGACAATTTGAGGTAGATAAGGAGTTAACTTTTAAGTTATAGTTAATAAGTTTTTGTATTTTTTCAATTTTACTAGGCCCCTCAACAAGTATTTTTAGCCTTCTTTTAATCATAAAAATAGACAAATAACCGTAAACTCGAAAACCCAGGCACAGATTAATGCCCTCACTGCAACCGTCAACCAATTGTTGAAGTTTAGCAGGAAGAAAGAAATATAATTCTGACGCTTGAATTACCAAACATAATGACAGCCACCACTTTGGCGCAAATAAACACCATCAAACCGTCTATCATTGATAGCGATGATTTGGAAGAGATTTTGAATAAAAGTTCTACCGGTATCAGCGTATCCCAATTAATGAACGCTACCAATGTGAGTGCCTTAGTTAATAAAGAATTAATAATATTCGTAATCGAAATGCCTAGACCTTACATTAGTACGAAAATAACTATATTTCCTGTCGCCCATATTGGGGAAATAATCCGAATGCCAGAGAATGCAGTAACGTCATGCAAAAGTCTCCCAAACCTTCAAAGCAGCACCGACAAACAACTGTGCCCAAGAGCTGCATTCCAGAGCAGTAGCCCACTGGGACACATAACCTAACGAT